CGGCGGATTTTTGCATGCCGTCTGAGCCCGCAAGGACCTCTTCAAGTTCCGCGCATCCACACCAGCCCGTCCAGCAACTTTGCCCTGGCAGGTTGCCTTGATCAGAGAAGTCGGGGAGCATAAAGTGGAAAAAAGGATTGCGCTGCAGTTATCTTGGGAAAGGAGGGGGAGGCAGGAGGAATAAACAGGGGACGAGGAGGACGCGGAAGAAGAGAGGATGTAAGGAGAATGTGGAGAAAGAAAAGGAGGAGGAGCAGGAGGACGAGGAGGGGGAGGAGGGGGAGGAGGGGGAGAAGGAGGACGAGGAGGGGGAGGAGGGGGAGGATGAAGACGATGGACGACAATGGGAGGACGATGATGGAGGCCGATGAGGGGGAGGACGACAATGGGAGGACGATGATGAAAGGACGAGGGGGGGAGAGGGAGGACGAGGAAGAAGAGGAGGAGGACGAGGTGGAGGAGGAGGATGACAATGACGATGAGGACGAGGACGAGGAAGAGGAGGAGGAGGAGGAGGCGGAGGAGAGCGCCATCGACAGGGAAGGTAGGGGCCACGAGGTCCGCCGGCTCGACGACGCCCGCGTCGCCCGCGCCCGCCCCTCACTCTTATCCGCAATTGCGGGGTGCTACGTATTATGTTACAAGAATCGTGCCCCCCCGGGCACGCGCGCAAGGGCGATCGAACGATTCCGACATGCGCGCGCGAATGGCCACTTCGGTAAAGTGTGACGACAATGTTGAGAAACGTACGGTTTTCTATAGAAACGTCGCCAGAAGCGCGCGCATGTTTGTTTTAATAAAAAGGCTGATGCGACAAATCCACATGCTGTGTATATTTATTCGGGAGAATCGGTGGTGAAATCCTTACAGGACCAAAGGTGTTGAAAGGATTGCGGCATGCTTGCGACGACGCGCGCGCGTGGCTTGTGCAAGGGATTCTAGCGACAGCACCTTCGCGAGGGCGTTCGAACAATTTCGACATGCGCGCGCGAGAGGCACGCTTCGTACCATATGATGAACATGTTGAAACAAGAGAGCAGAAAGAAACAGGCAAACAAACACACGCAAAACGATGGTTTCCTCACGAATTCGCAAGAGCGCGCATGGATTGATCCCAACCATCCTGAGATGTTGGGTCCTCGTTTTGACGAGACGGTCCCCGCGTTCCTCATCTCCTCTCCTCACCTATCCTCTCCTCTCCTTTCCTCTCCTCTCCTCTCCTCTGCTCTCCTCCTCCTCCTCCTCCTCCTCCTCCTCCTCCCACCCATGTCGGCACACCCCTAACACGTTTCGTGGCCCCATAAGGAGCTCCACCGAAGGCCCCAGAGACACCGTCCACATGCGTCCGCCACACCCATTACGGCCCCCCCCCCTCACACGCTTCGTGGCCCCAATAAGGAACTCCACCCAAGGCCCCAATGGCACCGTCCAAATGCGCCCGCCACACAGATTTCGGCACACCCCTCACACGCTTCGTGGAATAGCACGGAGTTAAACAGAAGGCCCCAGAGGCACCGTCCACATGCGTCCGCCACACCGATTTCGATTTCGGCACAACCTTCACATGTTTCGTGGCCCCATAGGGAACTCCACCGAAGGCCCCAGTGGCACCGTCCACATGCGTCCGCCACATCCATGTCGGCATTCCCCTCACACGTTGCGTGGCCACATGAAGGGCTCCACCGAAGGCCCAAGAGGCACCGTCCACATGCGTCCGCCACACCCATTTCGGCACGCCCCTCAAACGTTTCGTGGCCCCATTAGAGGGCTCCACCGAAGGCCCCAGTGGCACCGTCCACATGCGTCCGCCACACCCATTTCGGCACGCCCCTCACACGTTTCGTGGCCCCATACGGAGCTCCACCGAAGGTCCCAGTGGCACCGTCCACATTCGTACTCAACACCCATGTCGGCACACCCCTCACACGTTTCGTGGCCCCATAGGGAGCTCCACCGAAGGCCCCAGAGGCACCGTCCACATTCGCCCTCCACACCCATGTCGGCACACATTTCACAAGTTGCGTGGCCTCGCAGGGAACTCCACCCTAGGCCCCAGTGGCACGGTCCACATGCGTCCGCCACACTCATTCCGGCACACTCCTCGCACGTTTCGTGGCCCCATAGGGAGCTCCACCGAAGGCCCAAATGACACCGTCAACATGCGTCCACCACATCCATTTCGGCACACCCCTCACATGTTTCGTGGCCCCATAGGGAACTCCACCGAAGGCCCCAGTGGCACCACCAACATGCGTCCGCCACACAGATTTCGGCACACCCCTCACACGCTTCGTGGCCCCATAGGGAGCTCCACCGAAGGCCCCAGTGGCACCGTCCACATGCGTCCGCCACACAGATTTCGGCACACCCCTCACACGCTTCGTGGCCCCATAGGGAGCCCCACCGAAGGCCCCAGTAGCACCGTCCACATGCGTCCGCCACACCCACGTCGGCACACCCCTCACACGTTTCGTGGCCCCATAGGGAGCTCCACCGAAGGCCCCAGAGCACCCTCCACATGCGCCCGCCACACTCATGTCGGCACACCCCTCACACGTTTCGTGGCCCCATGGGGAGTTCCACGGAAGATGATACTCACGACTGCGGTGCCCACTGCTGCATATGGTTGGGTCCTTCGCCAGGCTAATTTTTTGGGGGAGACTGCCGCTGCAAAACCATGTTTTTTTTATGTTCCGGGACGCACCATGTTGAAATCCTTACGGGACCACGGATTGCAACATGCGCGCGAGGACGCGCACGTGTGCGGCGTGTGCAAAGAATTATTGCGACAACACGCGCGCAAAAGCGTTGGAACGAATTTGACATATCCGCGCGAAAAAAACACGTTTAATAGCGTTTTGATGAACACGTTGGCAAATAATGGTTGTCTTGATAATTCGCAGGTGCGCGAGCGCATTTTAGGAAAAACTATGGTAAAACCATAAGTCTTTATACGTTTCTGGGGCACTGGGTTTCCAAATCCATACGACACCTGGGGAATTTGAACGTTTCCGGCATGCGCGCGCGACGACCGCGGCATGCGCACTTCGTCATACTTTGTCTTGTTTTTGTAAGGTGCCTTGCTCACTGCTGGCTTTGATAAGCAAGTGCCCGCGTATCGAATTTGGTACAAATGCTGAGGGGGGGGGCCGATGTGCGCCGGCATGGGACGGTATGACTCAGATTCCAAAAAGGCGATGGGGCAAAACCGTTTGCAAACTGCAAGGGGAAAAAAGGGTGACCCGCGAAGTCCTGAGGAGGGGTACGTCCTACTTGACAAATAACTCCTGTGGATGCAAAGCACGCAACCGCCTGACCGACACTCATGCCCGGACGACATGCGGCGACGAGGCGGCGACGAGGCGGCACCAAAGCCGCCACATCGACAGCCAGGGCCAAACGACGGGCGGCGACGGGGCGGCGACGGAATCAACATGGCCTCCAGACCGATATTCAGGAGCAGTCCCGTTATACAGAAATAGAAACCTTTGTTGCTAACAACGTTTGGAAAATGTTCGCCAGCGTGGATCCCAAACACTGTGTTTCTAGCGAATTGTGTGATGCAACCTATGCGGTGCAAATTCGCTGGCACAAAATATGCAGTGCAATTCATGTGGTGAACTCTACGTGGTGCGACCTATGTTGTATGCTCAGTGTCTAGCGATCTAGGTTGTGCATTCTAGCTGGTGCCGCTCGTGCGGGCAGCCGATCCACACACCCGCAGCTTGGCTTGCAAAACCCATGAGGCGGCGATTGCGGTGAGTGCTTGGTGTTGGTTGGTGCGTCTCTGCGGCCACGCTAGCCCGCGCATGCTCGCGCGCGCAGCGGCCAGCTAGGCTGGCGCGACCGCCGCGGCCGCGGTGGCGCTGACCGTTGGGCACTCCCTAGCGAACACTTCAGTGCGAGTCGGCGACTTGGGCGGGAGCTGTACCATGGCAACGTCGACACCTGTATACGCGATGATGATAAGAGCGATGCTGGTGTCGATGATGACAACGACGACGGCAAGGCCAGCGACGGCGCCAAGGCTGATCATGCCGACGACGATGATGTTGTCATCGCGTCGGTGATGAAGGTTTTCGAACAAATTGAACAGTCGCGCGCGGCCGACGCGCGCGAGTGGCCCGCGTGGTACTCTCTGATACGGATCGTGCCCCCACCAGCACGTGCGCACGGTCGTTCGGATGAGTTCGACATGCAGCGCGATGGGCCCGCTTGGCAGAATGTAATGTCAATGTTGAACAGCCAATGATTTGCTTCAGAATTCTCGTGCGCGCGCGAGCGCGCGCATAGTTTTTCCAGAGGATGAGGGGGGGAACCGTCACTGGTTCGCTTGGGATGATGAATTCATATTCCGGATGGACGATGGGGCAAAATCGTATGTATATTGCATTACGATTCGGCGACCCGTTTAGTCCGGGGGGGGATAGAGCCTAGCACTTTCTTTAAAGCGGCAACCAGTTCAAAGCGGTAATCTTTTCCATTGCGAAGCATCTATGCGATGCAACCTATGCAACGTGGCAGCGGGTCGGTGACGGCGGCAACATAGCCGCCAGAACGCCACATCAACCTAGACAACGGGCGGCGACGACGCGGCGACGGGGCGGCAACATAGCCGCCAGACCGCCAAACTGACCCAGACGACGGGCGGCGACGAGGCATTGACGCGGCGGCAACATAGCTGCCCGACCGCCACACCGGCCCAGACGACGAGGGGCGCCGAGGCGGCGAAGGAGCGCGGACGGCGGCGACATGACCACCAGACCGCCACATCAGCCTAGTTCCTCAGACAGGGCCATTCCTTGCTTGAGAGCAACAAAAAACCCTGAGTGAAAGACACTTATCTGAAGATTTTGATGTATGTATACAGATATGTGTATGCATACATATACATACATGTCTTTGTACATCTGCACTATGCCTATATATATAGTGTATATATATATAGGTGCGTGTAAATGTATACATACAGTTTATACAGATTTTCACAAGCCGAGAAC